GTTTGGCTTTACTCGGAAATGTTACCCCAATAAGAAGCAACGGCATCCGACTGCTTTCGATTGATGGCGGAGGAGTGAGGTAGATTTTGTAATTTTACGTATATTACAGAATTACTAAACTAAATTTTTACAGATATTGATAATGTTTAAGAAGGTAGATAATATTATTATCATTTTCAGTGCGGTAGGAAAGACTAAGCAGACAAATTGTTAGTTCTAACGTACGCTTTACAGTGAGATCGCTGCCTAGCTGCGAGATGACGTTCCTTGTATAATATATAAAGCAAAGTAAGGAAAAAATCTGAATGTGCCTTGACGGCATGTGACTGTTTGCTACATGTAGCACATGATATTCAGATCAAGTATTGGTCAGCTATACTAACGAAGGTATCGTAAAATGGGCGTATCATGTCGTATTGAATATCATAAATTTCTTGAGTAAGCGTTTTTAAGATTTGTTCATTTCATGCTTATAAAATCGATTAGAAATCAATGTGCATGGTGTATTTGAACCGTGCTTTGTTTCTCTTAAACTACATTTAGCTTAGGGGCATGATGGCGTTGGAAATTCTCGAAAGGCTGGAGTCGATTTGTCATGGCGCTCGCATTCGTCAGCTATTCGATTATGTTGTTGGAGTTAGCACAGGGGCGATAATATGTGCAATGGTCGCTGGTCTCGATTTGTCCATCAGAGAATGCAAACAGATCTACCGCCTGTTTCCTTCGCGGGTTTTCCAGCAAAGCAAAGTTGCTGGCTCCCTTGGGCTGCTGTTGTCGCATTCTTATTATGATACTGATAACTTCCTTGTTCTTTTGCGTCAGATATGTGGCGAAAAGACGTTGCTGGACACGTCGACGGATCTTTTCCCAAAGGTAAACTTAGCTTGTCGTTTTTAGATGACATTTTTATGTGTTGTTTGTGTTGAATATCTGTTGTTCTGTTAGTTTTTGTACTGAGTTGCGCTGAGCAGCTGGACGCAATGCATGCTCTAGAGACGATTCGCTAGTTTCTTTTGTTCATTCATCAAAAATCATGTTAGGCTTTGACTATGACAAAAATTTGAAAGTGTGGGCAACAGTCAAGAACTAAATGGTGGTACGTCGATGAGCATTTCAGACAGTATGGCAAGATCAAATTTTTACTTTTTAAAGAATTTTGATTTAGGTCGAGAGATCGTAGCTTCTATGGGAACTAGCGCAGAAGGTAGCTTTAATCATGCTTAGAAAGATTATATGCGTAGAGGTAATGGTTTTCTTCTAAGTGGAAGGAAAAAGCAGAGACAACTGTCACCTCTGGTTATAACTACGTTCGTCACTGATCGTTCTGGGATTCACTTAGAGTAGAAACAACTGCAGCACAAGCATAGAAATAAACAATGATACCTCAGCAACTGTCTATCAGCTGTAGTGTTACGAGAAAGGACAAAAAACGAGTCGATGTGTCGGCGAGAACTGAAACGTAATTAAAATTCGTTACTTAATCGTGGAAACTTGAACTAAGATGAACCACTGAAAGATTAATAAAACGAAACTCACTTTACAATGAAATTCTTCGAGAATTTCTGAAGTCTTCGAATCCGCAAGGATCAATCGTCTTCTTAACTCGTTGATCTAAATGAGAAAGTTGAAAAAATAAAATCCTCTGGCTTTAACACTTTTACTAATGTGCATTTTATAAATTACTTACTGCCGTGCTTTGGAGCTGACACATTGATATTCGTCGCATCTTTCTATCACAGTGTTATAGAGCGATTATTGCAGTATCTTCGACAATGACTCAATGAAAAACGTATATTTGCGTCTATCATTTTCATCGACGTTATAAATTGACGATTTTTCAGTGTAGTAATTCACAGCTACAATAATATAAAATGCCTTATCCTCGCCAAGCTTATACTCGTAATTTTCCCTCATACATTTACCAGAAAGCCCCAGAGTCGCGAACAAACTAGATCCCACACTAGATCCTAAACTTATAATATACTGAATCTTAACCTATCATAGATGGAACGGGAAGGTTAGGCACAGACTTCTGGCCGCTGTCAGCTGCA